GAAGCTGAGCAACACCTCATATGTCTCTCTGGTTTCTTTGGTTTTTGGCTTGTACACGATGCCCACCATTTCATCAATGCCTTCAGACAGAAGGGTAAAGCCCTTCATTTTGTTGATATCGTGCCTGTCCTCATCTCTTTTTCGCCTCCTGTATAGACCGGATTAAGGAGACAGGATTAAGGTTAGTGTCACTCAACAGGGACAGGAACAACAAAACTAAAGTTCATTAAAAAGATCATACATGAAAAGCTTTAGCCAATACTTTCCAGAGTTGAGCACAGATTTTTTTGTTTTTCCCTTCATCTCAATGCAGAACGAGAATCACCTTGCAGAGCCTTCAAACATTACTGAAGGATAAGCCATTACAGTCAATATTTATAAACTATAAGTTTTTCAAAGTTATGTTATCAGTGAGCTGTAAAGCAAATGAAAATACATATTGTTTTGAAACACCAATTCGTGATCACATCAATGAATTTGATGTGACAAAGACAGTGAAATATGTTGTTGACAGTACTGACTTGTCTCGTCTCTCCTCCAGCTTCTGAGGTTTGGTCCTCTGAGCCTTGTCACCCATCTTGGTCCCCTCCAGCTTCCCCACCAGGGACAGGACCTCTCCGGTGGGCTCATCTCTCCGTGTGCGGTCGATCAGAGAGCGATCAGCTTGCAACACCAAGTTTGAGTTCTAACAACCAAACCACAAATACGACGGGATCAGTCAATGACTTTCACCACTGTTCACGGCTACAGCTAGGCTAACTGCTAGTTAGCAAGAAGGCTAGCTAAACAAGAAGCGACCCGAATTAAAAACATTTAACCTCGCTTTTTAGCTCGATAATATAACAACATATAAAACTTCCCACTTCTCATGTGTTGGTGTTTATGTGTTTCTATGCAGACATACTCACCGCTTTGTACTCATACTGCAGGCTACGAGCAGTAACATCCGCCATGGTGCGGCTTTCGTCTGTTAGCTTCTACCGCACTTTTTACTCCCAGTGAACCAGACCGCCGACTCTAAACATCCACAGAGCTGACCTGACTCTGCCTTTTTCACGGAGACACTGAGAGCATCGGTGCAGAGTTTAGATTTGTAGCATAAGGTACTTTTCACAGTGTCCGAGTTTCACACAAAGTGCGTTTCCCATACGTTACAATGGCTCCGCTAACACGAGCGCACAACAAGCCGCTGCCGAGACTTTCCTTTTCCGGTGTCACAGGTTAGACCAGGTACAGACGACAAGAACGAGTAGCGCCCCCTGCAGGCCTCCTTCATTTCAGCACACTTTCGGTTTTAAAATTTCCCACCCACAATATAGTATGTACAGACAAACCCTTCCGTCTTTGTCTTTTCATCCTTGGCTGCATATAACGATAGATTAACAGTGATTAACCCTATCGGTACAACTGCACTGTGAATGGTCTGTTAAACCACATCCACTGACAGATTATGATACAGACATGTAGATCTCTTTGTAGCTGTGTCACTTTGTGTTTATTTCACATCCTTTTGTGTTTGTTTCACATCTCTTCCATCTCTTTACACATTTTTGTATGTCTCTTTACTAGTTTTGCTTCTCTTTGTGGTGATTTAGTGGCCTTTTGCATCTTTTTGGCAGTTTTACTTGTCTTTGTGGTCATTTTAGGTTTTTCATGGTCATCTTGTGTCACCTTATAGTTGCTATTTTGCATCTCTTCGTGGTCATTTTGTATCTTCCTCACTCTGTCTTGTCTATCATTTTGTCTTTTTGTGTGTCTTTTGTTGGTCTTGCACCTCTTTGTAGTTGTTTCCTCTTGTGGGTTGGCCAGTTTAGTGATCCATCCATGACCGCAAACCAAGCCCAATATTTTAAAAAGAAAGATTTCATGTTGCATTCAGGTATGATGGTTGATCTATCTAAGAGATCAGACTTGTCCAGATTTGATCAACAGTTCCTTCTGTCCCACAAAAAAATAGATACAAAATCCATTTAACCATACTTTGCATATAGTACATCTGTGGAGCATTTATTCTTTTTTTTTTAACACAGTGCAGTTCTCTCTGGAAAACCTGAAACCCCTGTTATGTTTCCTAAAAAATATCAGAATGATTATTTATCTATTTATTTCAAAAAGGCTGTAATCTAATACACTAGTGAATATAGATCTTTGCCAACTTCCTGGTTGTGTCAAATAGGAGGAGACATCCCTCTCTATTAATAACCATAATTTTTCCATGAAATTACACGTGCAATGTACACAATAGCTGGATGCAAATAACGCTGTGCAATTTTTTAAAATGCTATATAATGCAAATGCTCTGTGTAATATGTTTCAATATTTTCAATACTTTTTTTGTTTTAATGTGAATGCAATTTGCACATTACGTAAATATCTTTGTAAATATCTCTACAAATTCAAGTACTTATAATGTACACACGTTCTTATTTATGTTTTTTTTTCTACTTTATTCCATTGTTATACTTTTTTCTTCTACCTCGCTTTCCTATGCTGCAGTAACAAGTGAATTTCCTTGGTGAAGAATCAATAAAGGTTTATCTTATATTATTCCTGTTCATATAATATGTACATACTCTAAGTATGTATGCATGTGCCTTAGTGATTATGTAGTGATGTGTTTCACTTGGATATGTGTCGGTGCTGTTTGAATGTATGGTAAATGGACTGTGCTAATACAGCATTCACATCCAGATGGCAGCATCGAGAGCAACTTGAAGTTCAGTGTCTTGCTCAAGGACACTTTGACTTGTGGACAGGAGGAGCCAGTGATCAAACACCAACCCGGCGATCAATGGACGGTCTCCTGAGTCATAGATGCCCGCAAATATGTACAAATGCTTCCTGTGAGTATTCATTATACATGGATGTGAAAGTGAAGCGATATGACAATTGTATGTGCAAATGCTGAACATACTTGTGTGTGCATTCTGTGTGTATGTATGCAAAAAGGTGTTATTTTTAACCCAAATTACTTCTCTTACTAATGTACTATGAGATGCAGTGGGCACTTAAGATAAAATGTAGAAACAATGATACGTAAGTGAGACACACATACACACACACACACACACACACACACACACACACACACAGTAGAGGAGGAAGATGCAGTTAATGTGGGTGTGACTGTTTACATGAAAGAGAGGAGGTGTCTTCATGTTTGTATTTGTTGCCTGTCACTTCATGTAACTTCCAACCACTTTGCACATCTGGCAACAACATCTGTCATTTTCAGGTGGCCATAATCTCTAAAGTCTTTCGTCTAGTGAGCCAGCTTTTTAACCTCAGCCGCACCCAATGACAGACAGAGTGAGACAGGAAGAGAGGGTGACACGGATAAATGGGCTGCACACATCAGTGAAACAAATTATAGGTTAACGTGTGTGGTGGGTGGGCGAGAGATTACTGACAATGGAGTGTGTGTCCAGCTTTTTTGCACATGTGGACACACACACAAAGTGTGATTCAGGATGCCTGCAGTTGTTCCAGGTCATATTTGGAGTGTGGTTATCCTCCTCTCATCTGTCACTGCATTAGTTATGAAGTGCACTCTTCTGTCCCCTCTGGCTTTAAGGACAGGCAGACGTCGTCAGTGATGACTTTGCCTTATAATACATTCTCAGTGATTGAATTTAGACACCCTAATAACAACCTTGAGTTTGAATACTAAAACTGATGTTTTTCACCCAAAATGCCTTTGTGTAAATCCTCCATTGTACTTAAGAATTGCCTCCAGACAATGTGATCTCTGTAGCTTTCTGTCACAGGGACACCACATGAGCACACCTCAGCTGTCTGAGCAGCTGTTGCCATGACGCCATCTGTGAACACACTCTGCCCCTGGAGCTCCTGACAGGAGTGCGAGAAAACACATTGTCTCTGAGACACACACATCATGTGTGTCCTGCATGTACAGCGTTGGCCTAGATCGAGTGGAACAGGATCATTTTCTTCCAGGGTCTGGGGATTAATACTTCCTGTGTGACCCAGACATGGTTTGGAAAAAAGTCTCTTGAGCAAAGTTTACAGCCTGTGCTGCCAGCTCTCTGTATTAACACAAGGACGCTAAAGAGGCCGGGTTAGCCTAGGTAAAGTATTACAGAGTAATGCTGGAGTTCCTGACATGTGGCTCCTACACTATTCTTGTCCTGACTCAAATTAGTTCCAGCGTTCACTCTTCACCAGCTTGTGCTGATTCATCATTAACTTCATCTTCCCAAAACAGCCTTATTTTCAAAGTCATATTTACTGTGCTAAGATATAATGCACCTGATGACTCTGACGGGTTTATCTCCACATAAAGGATCATAAACTGTGTGAAACTGTTGAAAACAAAAGGTTGAAATAGCCAAACACATTTTACAAAAACTCCAACAATACTGAGAAATGGTGAGCTGTGTAAGTCAACACACAATGAGGCTTGGTAATGTCTCTCTGTACAGTTTTATTTACATGATACTATTCTGTCGTAATGCTGGATAGCAAGATTATATGTAATACATAAATATCAACACAGTTTGTTGTTTTTTCATTTTTTGTACAAATTTGCATATAACTAAGAATCAGAAAGGAAAAACTCAAACGGATACATACAGTTATCTTTTAAATGAAAAACACATCCTTACAGGGGAGGAAAAAAAAGGGGATTAACACAAGTCACAAACATACGTGGGTTTCAATGTGTCAGGCAGCCATGAAAACACACTTTTGCACAGGTATGTGCACGTGCACGCGCACAAATACACACACGCACACTTCTCTACGGTGCTCTATAGCAGACACACAGACCAATAGCTGTTAGACAGATGAGAAGTTACATCTAATCTTGGTATCTATTATTTTTCATAAATCTAGCTCTGGCATGCTCCTGTAGTTCTGTAAACATGTGCTGATAAACCGGGTAGCTCCAAAGACAAAAGGGTTGGGGAACAACACACCCACCCACCCAAATACACACACGCGCACACACACACACACACATACGCATACACACACACACACACACACACGCACACACACAGCTCACATGAACGTTCTGTTAGCGCATTTTAAAAAATAAAACAGAAAAGAAAATCATGGTTCACATACTCTAACTCCACAAATGCACTGAATACATGCGCTAACATCAGTACAATATCAATGGAAGAGAAAAAAAAAAAGCTATTACAACATAACAGATAATTGTCTCTCAGCAAATAAAATGTCGGAAACCCTAAGTTGAGTGATGCCAAATATTTCTGAAACACTAATGCAGATGTAGAGTAACTCATGCATTTATCCCATTCATTCATGCCCCTACAATATTGTAGCCTAAAGTCACCAAGTTACCAGCCCTGCCAGGGAAGGGTGCCATCCTTCCTCTCAGGCCACACGTCGGTACACACAGCCCTGCACCAGGCGTCTGAGATTACAATCTGAGCTCAGACCAGTTGGGGAACTCCTTTACCCATTATATCCATTGAAAATGTTTAGACTCAGTGAAACGTGGAGTAATTTGTTTGCCCCTGTCTAGCATGATACCTCCAGCCATAATGGAAGCAGCCTCGTCACAATCAAACCGATCACAGTCGACACAGACTTGATCACAGGGTCACTGAGGCTGACTATCAAGATGATCCATTGTTCTGCTGGGGTCAAAGCTGATGAAAACAAAGTAAAAGGGAAGACGACAAAGCTTAACGCAGCAGCTGTGAGGTAGGTAAAGCTAGGAAAGACAGAGACAAAGTAACAAAGCCCCTTGTGCATGGTGGGGGACAGTTGTACGGTTCTCCAAACAATGACTGACTCCAGTGGCAACAGGGCAGGGAACACGAAGTTCAAAAGGTTGAAGGACACAACTCTTGTGGACTGTTACTGTGTAGTCTGAACGCTTTGAAAGACCAGCCAGTGTCTGACACATGACAGGGTCCGAGTAAAATGGCTGTTTACGGTTTGGCACAAAATGGCGCCTGGTTAGGGTGAGAGGAGCACAGCATATCCTGGACAGTTAGCCTGGGCTGCTTTTAATAAGACAATACATATTCTTAGAAAAAAAAGGACTCAACAGCGGCAAAAATCACACCACAGAAAATAGGATAAAACAAACTAATGAATTAATCAAAAAAAAGGAGAAAAGTGATCATTCATGCATCTCCCTCAGACAGGATCTTTTCATTTTTTTCTTCTTTTTTTCCCATTATTTTCTTGAGGTTGTAATTTTGTAAATCAAGTCCTTTCAATCCTCACTCATGCCAGTGCTCATTTCAAAGGTTCACACTCATACTCCAGTCTTTGTCAAAGGTGTTGTCATCGTTGCCGTCACTCCTGATTTTGTCAAATCTATATTCTCTGGATCTTGTCAGCCACCACAACGGGGTTCTCTTTACGGATCTTGGCGGCAGCCTCGGCCTTGTAATCATATGGACAGTTGTGCTTGTCGGAGTACCGGTGGATGCCACAGAACAGGTTGCCACAGCGACAGTCGAAGCCTGGAAACACAAAGGTAAGGAGTCAAAGCTAGAACCAGAGAGGTGAACAACTACACAAGAGAGGTGCTAAGAACACTCCCAGTCTTTCCATCTCTGACCAGTAAAACAGTTATCACTGACAATAATAATGTGTTGAATCAGCTGCCCCTTCGTGTCGTGTCCCCCTTGCTCACCTGTGAGGCCCACCCTTTTGCGGCACATGAAGCACCTGTTCTTCTTAGGTTTGGGGGTGTCACCCTTGCTTTCTTCACTACTGGAAGAAGCTACAGGAGTAGGGCTAGAAGCAGCAGGCTGGCTTACAACTACAGATAAAGACAACACAGGGGAAAAAAATACATATTAGTCATGCTGGGTTTAATTTACCATTATCTGATATCTTTAACCTGCAAGCAGCAGATGAATGAGTTTTGTTCATAGTTCTGTACGACATGCAAACACACTGGCAACTGAAATTGTGTACTTTAGTCCTAAACGATATTAATTATTGCATTCCTTATCTGTAAATTGCCCTGTCTCGTTCTTGGCAGAAACTAGCGCATTACTCTGAGAAAGCCTCTGGCAGTCTGCATCAAATCTGAGAATGCCCTCTGGTGTGGAGGTATTTTTAAACAGATTTATTTTTAGGCAGCCTCTCTTTCTTGGAGGCTGTAAGTAAAACCAACAGTTGGGCTTAAGGTATGCAGTGAAGCATTAAAAATAAACTGAGGCTACAGTGGGTTCTATGGGGTGATGTTTGCCTTAAGAAGTCTGTATGCAAGAAGTCACGTGCATGTGTGTCTAATGTCTGCTCGCCTGTCTGTTAACTTCAAGTGTCTTTATGCGTGTGTGTGAGATTACCAGGCTCTAGGGGTTCTGGCTTGTCCTCTCTCGAGATGCTCATCTCTGTCATTTGTTGAGTCACAGGAAGAGAGCCTTGAATAGTTCTGAAGGTTTACATAAAGGGAGACAGGGAGGGATGAGCAGGAGAAGACGTACCAGTCAACCAACAGTTCACATATTCTCCAATTTTAAGAACAACCTTGAGCAGTCAAACACATCCAACACTGACCTAGACATGTCGGGTGAAGAGGCGGGGGAGGCATCAACCTTGGCTAGACTGGCTTCTAGTCTCTGAATGGCTGAGGCCTCTGAGGTAGGACTAGCAGCTGAACCTAGATGAGAATGGAGAGAACTCCATTAGACAAAACTCAAACAGAAAACAGAATTGTTTACAATCAAGACAAAGTACAAAAAATTGACAATCATGTGTGAAGTCAGAGAGGAATACTTTTTTTTTGTTTGACAGCAGAAATGTCTAAAAGGAGTGAACACCCCCCAAACCTTGAACAGTGTCATGAAGAAAAACAGCTGTCTTTCATTACACAGAGTGGAAAAACAGAGAGGGAGGGCAAGGGGGAGGAGAGCTGGGAAAATACACTGACTGGCCTAGAACTGATTGTATTTCAAAACAATGTCTACACTTCCTCAAGTCACTCCTTATTTCTAGCTGACAATATATAGAACAAGCCTCGTTTATTTGTTTACATCATAAACACAAGTCCTCTGTAATCAATCTGGATTGCATACTATTTGTTTTTAGTGTATTTTTGTGTGCTGTCTTACCCATAGGGCTGAGGGGGCTCATGCGGTCACTGCTCTGCTGCCGTGTCAGGTGTTCCTTATAACATACGGAGCACATACCATTGGTTCTCGGGTTGCCATAGAAACCGCAGCCTGTGGCACAAAGCATGGGCACCGGGCTCTGGTTCGTCTCTTGGGCCATTGCTAACAGAATAAAAGAGAGACAGAGTGAGAATGCTTATTAAGACACACACGCACACATAGAAAGCATTTTTCTGCATGAACACCTTGATGTCGGATACAACTGAAGGCTAAAATATTTTCCATCACAGGACACATTTCCCTGTGTGTTGCAGTGTCAACAGGGCCGACAGATAACAGGAGAGTCGTATTATGAAAATTTAAGAACAACATGCCTGCCTGTTTTGACTTGCCCTTTAGCATGAATACAGTAATGAACGCTTCACCACAGGAAGCCCAGAGAACAAACAACACTCAGTGTGTTCTGTTCAGCACCTTTGGCAGAAGCTGGACTCTGTTCTGTCCCACAGCTTTGTTCACTGTTGTGTCCCCCTTCCCTCCCTCCATCTCTTCCACCCCTTCACCCCTTTTCACAGTTCTGAGAACAGTCAGTTTGGCTCTTCCTGGAATTTGACCCACCTCATTTTCATATCTGTGAACCGCTTTCTTTAAACTTTCTTGTATAACGTTTTCCTTCCTCGTAGCTAATTACAGACACATAGTTATAGTCATTTCCTCATAACTTAAGGCAATTATGTTTTATGTTAATGAAAATGGTCACAATTGAACAATAGGCCTCCGGGCTACCCTGAAACCTTATGACAAGTAATTGATCATCATTGTGTGTCATGATTATGACAAAAACAATTATTGACAATAACTACCACTCCCTCAACGGCCTATTCGCCGCCTCTATCTAGACAAAAAATGACGCTCAGACTCACTAGCAGTATCTCAGCCAAAGAACAAAAACAACACACTGGGTAAAACAATATTCAGTCCTCACCAAGATAATGAATGAGAATGAACAAAGCAGGTCAACAGTTTCAGAAAGTACTCCCCTCCCCGCCCCGTGATTCTTGCCACAAAAGGCATTTCAAAACTTCCAGAATCATTTCTCCCCACACATACGCCCAGAAAACAAGCGTGTATGTGCGTAAGTTGGTGAAACGTGTAGCCCTATGACGTTGTTGCCCCGTCCTGCTGCAATGCAATACAGCAGGAAGTTGCATAGTGGGAGACGCTGCCTGTGAGGCAACAGATCAAAAACACCATGGTGAATGAACAAACAGACAGACAGGAAGGACTAGATTAGTTAGTTAAGAGGTATCCTGTCTGCCAGTCCTGCCCTGGCTGTTTTACAAATCATCTGATCAACTGATACTAGACTCAAAAAACACAACAAGCATCTGGCAACAGTATCATACTTCCCTTGTAAACAACCTTTGGCCCTGTTGTGCTCTAACATGGCAGCTGCTTGCTCATCTATATTCTGGTCACAGACACAAACAGGACAGGCGAGCTTAATGTTCCAGGAGAGGCTGGCAGTTGTTTCAGAACGTCCTGTCAACTCACTCGAGGTATACTGATCACACCAACAAGTGCTATTAAATCTTCAGCTACCCCCCACCCAACCCCTCCTTCCTCCTCTCTTTCTGTGCCCCTGCATGCTATCCCAGCCGTGTCAACAAAGGGTTTCCTTGGAAAAGCCCACAAAGACCTTCTCTCCCTGTGCGTCACATGTTCAACTGCTGACTGCTGAAAAATATCAGACATGAGGTCTGAGCCAGAGGTTGGTATGAATAGTGTAGCTTGAAAGAATTTTTTTCTTAACAAATGATTAGCAGAATCAGTCTCTTTAAACCCAGTAACAACAGTTTATTATATAGATAGCTACATTTAGATTGTAAGATTTGTGCTACACATCTAGATCACATGTTCTTGGACAAGGTCTCTGAGCTAAAACAGCCCCTCAAAAGAAGGATATCAATTTAAACCAAGACTACATCACAGCTGACAACAAAAAGAACACCAAAAATGAATGACAAACAAACATGAGAAGGCCCGTAGCAGTTAACAGATTAACCATGGCTGTTGACTTTCTGACACAAAGGAACAATGGACAGTGTGGTTCAGCTGTCACGTTTGGCCCCAGCTGTCAGACAAACAGCAAGCATGTTAACCTACCCTTTACTGAGACCTCTCACAAACAGGGATAAGGTATGAGGTAAAAAATCACTCAGGCTGACCATGTTTAAATGTGCCTTGCTTTCAACCTGACACACATACACTGCATACTTGAGAAGTTTTGAATGTTTAATGATCAAAGGTCTTTTAGAGAGAAAAGAGCACACATGCTGCTCATGAAATATAACATATTTTTGTTTATGTTGTCATTATCACCAACTGGGGATCATCACTCATCAACCTTGATTAATTAACAGTTATACACTGGCAGGAAGATGAAACTACCAAACTATGCCATTCATCACGTGTTGTGTATTGTAAAATACATCAGACAGGGCAAGTCAGGGGCTTTCCAGTACAGGGGGAGATTACCAGTCACAATCATTCACCACCAACTTCCTTTCACAAAAAATCCAAACACTCAACATTAAAATATGAAAACTTGTCGGACTTGAAATTGTGCCATTTGGTTTCTATGGGGTGGACATCTGAACGCACTTTGAAAGACAAAGGTGTGATCATCTCTAGCAAACAAAAGGGGAAGACTGTGCTCCTATATCAGCCGCAAGCTTAGCTCATATTTCAGGCCCTGCTGGGGTGAAAACTACTGAGTCACACTGAAGGACAGAACAGAAAAAAGCCTGTTGTTTTGTTACAAGCACACAGTGATTATTCTCTTTAAAAAGGGGCAAAATGTTGCAAATAATCATTAAAGGCGATAGTAAGGAAACAGCACTGATGTTTTCTGAAATAACCTACAGTCTAGACATTATGGTCTCTGCTCCCTTTGTTTCTTCTTTCTCCCTTTGTCTGCAATCTCTCTGCTTCCTGTTTAGACATCGTTTTGTATCTCCTCGTTCTCGAAGCATTTCTATTAATAAACCTTTTCTACGTATTTTCAACGAAGCATTGAGAACAACCTCTATTATATAATCACACTTAAGTACTTAGAAACGACTTGGTGGTGCCACATAGCTCTTAACACCGAGCAAATCTCGTTTTCTCCAAAGCTGAAACTACTGCAAACACTGGGCAAAGCTGTACTGGCACTTCATTTAATATTTAAGCAAATGCTCTGTAGAAATTTCAGAGCAACTCTCTCGCTCTACTTGCCTATTCGGCTTATGAATTTTCTATTTGTAGACAGGAATTAGCTGGCTTTGGTTCCCCATCCCCCAGCTACAGGCAAATAGAAAAACAGAGACAGTAACCAGCACTAGCTAGCTCCCTCCCTTGTTTTTCCCCTCGAACAGACCGAGTCACGTTCGAGTGCTTGTGATATTTCCACTAAGGAGGATGAGATGATAGAGGTAGTGTTGGTGGTGACAACATCCACCAGCAAACGACCGAAAAAAAAGAAAAAAGAAAGAAAAAAAAGCTTGTTTACCACACAAAACCATAACGCACACACCACCTGACCTTTCAATCCACCGTTAAAGGTCGCCATGACCGACCATCAGCTTAGTTTAAACACCCCTCTTTTCGTTGTTTACCTCGACAAGCTGAGCTCACTTCAAAATTCATCCTTGTCGTTAAGAAAAAACAAAAACAAAACAATAATCCAAGATCATCACCTGCTAAAAATCGATGAAGTTTCTCGCGAGACGACGACGATGGGGGGGGAAAGTGGCCGTTTGTCTTGGCAGAAGAAAAAAGGTCGTGGGTTTCAGGGTCCTGGTAACGTCCGTTTCTGTGTCTGGCTGTGTTTTCTGTGGCGCTGTCCTCCGTCAGGCAGGTTTAAATGGGTTTAACTGTCCCTTCCTCGCCCTCCTGCCTCTCTTTCTTTCTCTCTCCGTCTCCCGTTCCTTCTGGATGGATGTTTGTTTCCTTCTTTAGTAAGAGGGGTGGCGGATGATGTCACGGGTAAAACAACGTGTCGCCATTGGCTGCCCGCGGAGCCCCCGAGCTCTATGTACAGTTCTGCGAGACGGGGGAGGGGGGGGGGTAGTCGGGTGTGCGCGTGCGCGTAGCGTGTGTTGCGTTATTACACATGTATTCGTCATCCTCCTACAAGGACACGAATCTTTTTATTGAGTAATCCACCTAGATGAATGGATAAATTAATAATGGTGCTGACATGACTGATGACTGTCTTTGAAAAAAAAACTATGATTAAGACGCTAATCTTCAGGGAATGCCTCTTTGTACAAGATCCCCCATTTCTGTGAGAGGGCACTTTTTGTTGGTAAAAAACAGCCTCGCCCCTCCTGCCACATAGTATGATTGTTTTTGTCAGAGGAACAAAGCCAGAGCAGATTTATGACTAGAAAGATATACAAGTCTGTTTGTTAGGGGAGAGCTGAGAGAGTTGACACTAGATACACACACACACACACACACACACACACACACACACACACACACACACACACACACTTGTGTTGACATTGAGAGTGTAAACATGTTTTCTAGGAGGTAACAACAAATAAGATGGTGGGTAATCCAAACTGATACCAAGTAATACCAGTAATAGCCTACCAGAATCACTAAAACCAATGTTTTTTTATACTTAAAATAGTTAATGCCAAACTTACAGTGCTATTATCTGTAAATGCAATTTAAAACACATTTGTTTATTTAGTTATTACCTTATTTATCTAATTAGTTATCAAGTATGTTTATTGTGTGAATTATTGAGTGTTCATGTGCACAAAATACGATCTAATGTAAAACCAATGAATCGTTCAATAATGATTCTTAGACTTTGAATAGATAGTATCAATATGTAAGGTGTTTTCTCCCACCCCTAGTGAGGACCCTCATTTACATAATGCTTTACTTAGCCCCTAGCCTCTAATCCTAACCTTAATTATCACCATTACATGCCCAACCCCAACCATTTACTCTAAACTGAACCCAAACATAATTCTAACCCTTTATCCCAAAACAAAATCTTTACCCTCACACACCTCTCAGAAGATCTGGCCCAAGTGAGGCCAAAATGTCTTCGCTTTGGAAACATGTCCTCAATTCGTCTGTACCTCAAATACGTCCTCACAAAGATAAACATAAAGTACAACAGCACACAGGCATGCTTGTGTTGATGTTGAGAGCGCAAACATGTTTTGTGGGAGGTTGCAAAAGATAAGAGCTGAGCAGCACCTAGAGAGCAGGATATTTTCAGGATGCACTGTTGGAAAATGATTGTGAAATCCATTTAGGTCTCTGATGTGAGCAGTTGCAACAAACAGTGTTGTAACTACCACTGAGGACACTGAGGTCATGAGCTCAGAGTTGATTCAGGGAATTTGGGGGATTTTAAAAGACCTGAGGAGAAGTTTCTCTTCTGCAGTTAAATTACACACTGAGGGTTTTAAAGTCTGATTCTGATGTTATTTACAGTCCAAATTCTTAAACTTGACCATTTTATGCTAAAAACAGAAATTAAAATAAGGGGATTGTGCTCCATACATAGCATTGTATGGCAGGTCTTGAATAGCATTTAGAAAACTGTGTAGGTAGATAAAATTAGAAGAATATATATTTTAACACTGAAATTAACATATAAAAAGTGGGAAAAGAAAATTTCACAGACTCTTTTGGTGGTCAGTCAAATATTTCATGGGGGAATGGGATTAAACTGTGGGGCTCTGGACTCTAGGTATGTCTAAAATTTTGGCTACGGCCCTGGTGGTAAACGTGAGCTTTTATACTTTAGCAAGTTTTACTTTAACCTCTAATTTAACGCCATCAGTAACCCAGGCATATCATCTACCAGTCATAGTTTATGTGAAATATGAAAACATGTTCCTTGCAGTGTGTCATGTGCACTGTAAATTTGCCCTGCAGGTCTAACAAGTCCCAGCGTATTCCCCCACCTTGTCAGTGTCGCGTCACACACATCCCCAGGCACTACAGGCCACGCTGAGCAGAAAACAAATACTTGGGGTGGGACGGCATAGTGTGTTTGTGTGTGTGTGTGTGTGTGTGTGTGTGTGTGTGTATGTGTGTGTGTGTGTGTGTATGTGTCTGTGTGCTAGTGTGTTTGAGAGAACATGCTGTCATCTATCAGTGAGTGGATTCGTGGAAAGACTAGTATAGTCTCGAAGCAGTATGTTTTGCTCCAGTTCAAACTGGAATTCATGTAGAAACTGAAAAAACATGCAGCCAGGTGAAAGCAAAACTGGTGGCTGCTGCCCATTTTCCCCTAACTTTTAAAGGGGAATATACTTATTATAGTATAGTATAATTAAAATGTTTTTAAGCCAATTTTTCTAAAAAAAGAAGTCTGACAGGAATGTATTAATTAAATTAATTTTTTGTGAGTGTAAGACCGTGTCTGGATAAATCAATCAGTTACGTAGATCTGTCTGTGCTGTATGCATGTATTTGGGGGATTTTCAGGAGAAAACATGTGTGTAGTGTAAAAGTGTGCAATGTAAATGTGACCTGATTTTCCACATAAATAAAACATACAAACTGTAAAAAAAACAGTCTCACAAATTTATATTTTCCAGTCATAAAGACTGAGACAGTTGAGGAGAACTGGTCGTTGATTAACAGCAGTACTCTGAATATTTGCTTAACAACAAAGCCTGATCAGCTTTGATCAGATTGCTAATCTCTGATAACTGTAGTGAGACAGTTGGTGACTGTCTGAGTCACCATAACTGCAGGACGGCCAGCAGTTATCTGAGTCATTTACAAGCTTTAATATCAGTTGTTACTGTGTGGAATGAGAAAAAAAAGAAAGAAAAAGGACAGGAGTCATCATTATCACAAGGGCACGAGCAAAACATTCACACAAATAATTTTCAGTAATATA